ATGCTGAGTCGCTTGTTGTTGATTTTGTTGTGAAGCAGTCTGTTGCATTTGTTGTTGTTGTGGCGTAGGTGTATGAGGAGCCATCGTTGCATATAAGTACTGTGCTTGTTGAACAGGAGGTGGTGTCTGTGTACCGCCACCACCTTGATGGTAATTTACAGATGACATATCTAAATGACAAAAAAAATTGTAAAACCAAAATCCGTCAACCAGGTTAAGGTCGAGTTGCATCAAAACTGACAGTCTTACCCAGCGCAACAACTCTAGTTTGTCCTTGTTTTAGCATATCGGCATTTGTTCGTTGTTGATTTGTTGTCGTTGATGGACGCATAGTATAATTTGTATAATCAAGTTGCTGTTCTTTTTGAGGTTGATTATATAAACCAGCTGGCAACATAAACCCGTAACTTGCAGTAGCTGGTTGTGGATACTGTGGCAGCAGCGTCATTTGCTGAGCGAGAGCAGATGCATTCTGAATTATTGTGGGATCACGTGTTGTATAATTTAATGTTTTAGCATCGCCTGTGACAGTCACAGGAGGTGTCACTGAGCCACCATGATATGTGGGTGCTTGTGTAATAGGTGCAACGGCTTGTGCTTGAGATGGTGATTGCTGTTGTGAGGGCTGATAATTTCCTGTTTGTTGTAAAAATGAGGCGGCTGCTATTGAATAGAGTCGGTCATCAGGTGTGCCATAATCATAGCTTTGAGCAGGATAACCTAAAATAACAATTATGAATAACTACCAAATACAATACAAATACGGAGGTACAGACAAAGAGATGAGAATAAATATCATTGTTGGATGAGGAATAGAATGGCTTTGCTATGTTAAATAAGGAAAAATATGTAAATATTTCTAATGATGCCACCGGCCGTACTCAGAAGAAGTCAAGGCTACATTCTCAATATCAACACCGCTAGTCAAAAGGGATTCTTACCTTGTAATGATGCTGGATATGGGTGAAATACGGTTGGCAGTTGGGGTGGCATTTGATACGCTGTTGGAGGCAAACTAATACCAGGTGGAATACTTGGAGTCTTATTTAGTTGTTGATTTTGTGATTGTTGTGATTGCTGTTGTGAGGGCTGATAATTTCCTGTTTGTTGTAAAAATGAGGCGGCTGCTATTGAATAGAGTCGGTCATCAGGTGTGCCATAATCATAGCTTTGAGCAGGATAACCTAAAATAACAATTATGAATAACTACCAAATACAATACAAATACGGAGGTACAGACAAAGAGATGAGAATAAATATCATTGTTGGATGAGGAATAGAATGGCTTTGCTATGTTAAATAAGGAAAAATATGTAAATATTTCTAATGATGCCACCGGCCGTACTCAGAAGAAGTCAAGGCTACATTCTCAATATCAACACCGCTAGTCAAAAGGGATTCTTACCTTGTAATGATGCTGGATATGGGTGAAATACGGTTGGCAGTTGGGGTGGCATTTGATACGCTGTTGGAGGCAAACTAATACCAGGTGGAATACTTGGAGTCTTATTTAGTTGTTGATTTTGTGATTGTTGTGATTGTGACTGTTGTTTGGTTGATGTGAAGTTTGCAGATGCTGCCGATGTTTGAGGTTGTTGTAGTGATGAAGTTTGTTGACTACTACTCAACTGTTGAGCCCGATTAGATAGCGATGATTGTTGCGGCTGCTGTTGTGCTTGACTTATAATATAACGTTGATTCAAACTCATCATATAAGGACCAGCATTCGTATAATCGATTATGGGAAATGGAGTAGGATCATAGGATGATTGATCTAGATTAGATGTCTGAAATAAAACACACATTTCTACAGATAGAAAGAAAAAAATTCGATATACATTACAAAATTATGTGAGGATAAATGCAAACGATCAGTAAATTCTGCAAGACTCAGAATCAACTAGCAATCTTTCAGCCTCCGCCAGATCCCTCATTTATCTTGAATTCTCTAGATGAAATAACTGACTGTGATTTATCTGTGAGGTATTTTCGATTGACTTTTATACCTAAAATCAACCTGAAACTTTTACAAACAGCTTGAATTTGTGTCACATTCAGCTGAAGAGCTTATTTGTACATTCTTACCTCTTGAAGAGTTTGCTGTGGCATAAACAAAAAATTCATACTGTTATTATGTTGTAATTGAGATGAATTTGTTTTCATTTGTTGAGGTTGTTGCGTTAACCTCGATTGTTGTGGTGGCTGTTGATTAATCATTGATGACTGTTGAATATTTTCGGATACTCGTCTTGGCGATACTCTCACAACACCAGAATAAGTCGATTGTTGTTGCTGTTCATGATTTGTTACATTAGGATTTGTTCTTGGTTGAGCTGAATTGGACGGAGAGGTTAACTGTTGCTGTGAAGATGGTGCTTGCTGTTGTTGATGATCAATCGCCATTTGTTTGACTGGACTGTAAACGATCTGTGGCTGAGAATTTATGGAGGTCGAATATTGTTGAGCTAAATATTGGTACTGAGGTGGTGGATGATGCAAATTTTCATCGAATTCTAAACGCGATTAAATAAATAAACTATTATTAAGCGAGAAAGCTAATGCTAAGCATTTCACTTTGTTAACAAAAAGAAAACTTGTCTTGCTGCTTTTGCTATGATACATGTAACAATTATTTTACCTACACGAAAATAAAGCAAGGGAAATATACTTTTACCTATCCATATAAAAATTTATATTAAAAATAGCACTATAAGTTAAATGTATTCATTTCGAAATACATTTATTTTAGAATACCATTCCGTTTTTAAGGTCATTTAAGATGGCAACTAATAACTATATCATATTTCGTTTTACATTCTTGCCTATACTTTTAGTGCTATTTTTCCTCATTTGATTACTTTACCTAAATTTCCGAATTGTACATCAATTTTTTCCACTGTTGAATCAAAATGATCAGGCATAATCACTGGTACTTGTGGAATGCGTGAGGAATTTGTGGGTGGTGTGGAAATCGGCTGCAGAACTTTTTGTTGTTGAACTTGATTTTGGTGTTGTTGATTTTTTTTCACTGCGTCAGCGACAATACCTACTACAACCGATTGTGATAATTGATCTAATTTTTGCTGAGAAGGATGTAAATTCGTAGAAGAGGAATCATCAAAACTATTACCTTGCTGTGATGATTCATAAGACGAGTACGGTTGTTGCTTAGATTGTTGTAATGAGTCCATTAAATTTATCGGTGCTTTCATCATATTTTGAGGTGCCGATTGTGGAGGCTTTTGTGGGATACCAATAGCATTTTTGATTTGACGTTCAGCTTCGACACGATCGAACTGACCATTTGGGGCTACATAACAAACACAAATGAACACATGTTAAATATCTGCTCAATCACTAAGATCCACTATTTCTTAATAAGACACCTGAAACAACATGTATTTAAAACAGTTCATATTGAGAGATCTGATGCAAAGGATACATTAGAAGAACCCTCCAGCTAATTAGTGAAGACTTATCATAAGAAATAAAGAAGACTTCCATGGTAATTGTTCTATTTTCGTTTAAAGGTACGACGCAGACAGACAGCTAAGGTTCTACCTATCATATTCGTTTGCTCATTAAATCTTTGATGTCGCTGCTGATTATGTACATTCAAATCAATCTGTTGATGTTGTTGCTGTTCATTATTTAAATCTGGCTCATTTTGCACTGCTTTTCGTGCTTGTCCTTGATTTCCTCCTCCTCTCTCATATACAATTGTTTCTCCGTTCCAATTTCCCACATCAAATATTTCTTGACCATTACTGCCTTGTATTGGCGGTCTTTTTTGTGGTTGCTGTTGTTCATTATTATTCCATGTTCCCACTTCCATAGCTGAATCGTGCGTCGATGGATTACTATTTTGATCAATATGATTATTCACTGGATGAAGTATATCTGAACTTTGAGAATCAACGTAATCATCAGCACCCGTATTTTCACCATCTACATTATTTTCGTTGTTCATATTATTCGAATTATAATATCGACCGCCCCCTCGTCTATTTCCTCGTTGACTACCGTAGTAACGAGATGAACCACCGACGCCACCCCGTCTCATACCATCGCCACGACGTAATCGTCCTGAAATAAAGAAAGTACAGTAAATATACAAAGGTGAATACCCTATAGTGTGTGATATATTTCAAAACTGTACTTTTTAACGAACTGCTATAGAGCAACAACTGTCTTAGAGATAGTTTTTAATGTCAAATCTGACGGAAATGCAATGAATTTTGCCAAAATCCTATGGCCGGACCTGGTCGAATGCAACAAAGCCCGTTAATCGGAGTTGGGAGATAGATTCGATGAAATCTGGTCGAATCTGAGCGGACTCCGTTGAGTTTCCATACGGATCAGACAGATTCCGATAAGATGCGAGGATGAGAATATTTAACCTGAGTTGTTATGAAGCATACGCTAGTTGAAAAAGCAACACATTCAATCTGTTCCTTATGATAAAAAAAGCCTAACGATAGATGGGGTATCCATCTTCCTAGGCTTACCTGAATATCTTCCGGCATCATTATTATATCTTGGTGGTCTAGTTAAAGTACCATTATTCCCGTAATGAGGATAATTTGGTCTATTCTGATATCGTGGATAATAATTATTATTATTATAAAAATTATTGTTGCTATTAGTATCACCGGCAGGGAAATCAGAATTTGGTTGTTGTTCTCCGCGTTGTGAACGCTTTGGACGTGTTGAAGTGTTCTGATTTTTTGTAATTATTTGACGGTTATCTTGTGAATTTTCTTGGATGTCATTTGGCGTTGATGATGTACCGTTATTCTGATCACCTGCGCCTAAAACAAAAAAATAGAACACAATAATAGAATTGTCAGGTCAAATAAAACAATTTGAAAAATTGGAGTAATTGCATAAAAAATAACTAATGCACTCGGGAAGTAGTGGAAAGAAAAACAATATAGAAATATTAACTCAAGAGATTCACTAAAAGAGATATCTTACAAGAACACTCTAAAATAGAATTTTCTATGAATCAAAAAATGGTATCGCTCTACCTGTCCCATTATTCATTTTTGTGTTTTTGTTCTTTTTTGATCCAGCTGTATGCCACTCACTGGCCACATCGTGTCCTTTTTCAATTAATAATGCTACGGCTTTTTGTACGTCATAATCAGAATCATGCAAAGCGATGAGGGCGTCTTCTTGTGTTGAATTCTCTACAACATTCAAAATTTTTTCTACCGTATCTTGAACATCTGGATGATCATGTTTTTTATCCTCAATTAATTGAGCTAAACGAATTTGTTCTTGTGTAGGTAATAAATCTGAACGAATGTGTTGTTGCTGTTGAGATGACGTTGTCGACGTAAAATTATTTGTGGCATTGTTGTTATTCGAATTACTGGTTGATGAAGAACGGGTTGCCCACTGTGCACTGTTGTTTGTGGAACATGATGTTTGCTGTTGTTGTAAGGGTAGCGCCCCTTTTGTTGCCGAACTCATTCGGCTCTAATTTTTGAATATTTTTTATTAAATATAATATACAAAAAAGATATTATCTAAAATATATAAGAAACTAAAAAGAAATTTCTCGTACTATATCCACTTACATCGATTTTCTATGCCGTTTAAAAAGAAATATCCACTTTACTATCGTTTTCTTTGTGGTTGCACGAAAAACGTTGTGTCTTTGAGGGATTTGTGTATGAACAACTTGCAATATACTGATCTATTTTCTTTGGATCATTCTAAATGATTATAAGAAGTTGTTATTTTGATTATACTGTAATGATTCATCAACTTTCTATGACTCAATACAAAATTTTGAGACAATCTTACTAGACATCGCATTCTCCTCTATCTCAGAAATTGCTCTAAACGGAGACTCTGTTATTCAACGAAACGATCTAACTTAAGTACAATAGTGTAACATTCGCGGGCTTCATATGTAGATTACAATCATCTGTCAAATTTAACAGGAAAAAAACTTTTTCTGGCCACGCGATTGTCATTCATCAATGGATTGTATAGTAGAAGTCATAAATTAATTAACCTAGTGGAACGGTAAAATAAAGACAACTTCTAACCAACAGAAATTCAGAAAAAACCTTAAAATGATGTAACTTCGAATTTTAAGAAAAAATCAATTTAGTGGCACCCCGGATTTTTGAAAGATATTAAAGCATTACAGTTGAGCAACGAGTGAGGACGGACTTATGATGAATTGCCGATGCACTATGTACAAAAAAGATCCTAAGATGTCGCTTGAGGCAGTACAGAAGCGATAGCTACCTATTGTTTCATATTATAATCTAACAAAAATCTGTACAATTCTGTTTCGCTTTACTTTATCCTACTCTATGCTTGACTAGTGTTGTTTTTTTTTGTTTTGAAGAGATCAGTTTTATGTTGACTACTGCAATTATTTGTTAAACTTTTTTTCTCACTTTTTGTTCTTCTCACTGGAAAAAAGATTGCAATGGGATTAAGATACTTGAATTTCGGTCACCGTTTACCAAATATTTTCACTTCAAAAACATCTATGCGAGTATCAAACAAAGGTGCCTCTCGTTTTTTGTGAAAACAGTTCTTCGATCAGTACTCAACAAAATGACAAGTTGGCAGAACATCATTGATAACTTACCAAAAAAAACTCGGCAAAATCAAACGGATTACAGTCCAGATCATCATCAGCAACAACAACTGTCAGACCAAAACTATAATGAAGGTATACAAGTACGAAAGATATTTAGAGTTAGTGGGTCGTCTATTCGTTGATACAGCTCATGTTGCTTACTAAAAATAATCAATTACAAATGTTTTGATCTCACACTAAACTGCTAGAAGGTTGTTCACGAAAAAACTGTTGCTATAAGTAAAGACGAGCAGAAGAATTATTCACATTTATTGTTCATTGTAGATAAGTTTCAAAAATTCATCTCTCGTCGCCGATCATTTATAAAAAAACGTCCAATAGGGGTACCAAAATTCAATTTACTAGCATTAAAACCACAAGAAAATTTCCAACCGTATAATATGACATTTTGGGGAGCCCAGGGAGTGAGTATGTAATTCGTGCTAATAATAGTATGAGAATGGTTAATATTGATATCTCTTAGTTGAGGACGACACTATATGGAAAAAATCTTTAAGAGATTTAGCAATGTCTCTAGGATTTATTACACAACATGAAATTGATCGCATAACAAAACCGGCAACATTAGCTAATTTCTATGGACCTCCTTCAACTACTGGAAGTCTACGTACTGCTCCACAGACAACATCAACACCTCGTTTTAACGAACGTTTACCACCACCAAGTCGAGGAGAACGAACATTTCATATAAAACCACTTTGGTACTATCGTGTAGATGATCATGAAAGAGAAAGTTGGGTATGGAAAGGAAAAATCTTTCTTTTAAAATAACTTCTGCGCCCTTTGTATTTAGATGTTACAAATTCTTTGCCAACTATTAGGTACAAGCGATTTAGCTCTCGTCCAAACCTGGCTAGCATCCGCCCATAAATCAGGTGTTTTATTTATTTTCATAATTTAGCGAAAGCTTTTTTAACTATTACGTTGGTGGTTTAGAAAAAGAATTGGCTCGACAGTTACTCGTACGAGCATTAGAAGGACTCGGTGAAGGTGATAGATTTCGTGCTGTAGCACCATCGTTGGACCTTGATATCGATACATTAAACAATTATGTTGCAGGGTAGGAATCAACATATAATCATGTAGCATGTTTTCTGTTATATACTATTCACTTCTAGTATTGACGTCCCGCAACTACCTGTTCAAGGTATATTCCGTCCAGTAGTAAAACATCGTCAATTACGTCCATTAAGTGAAAAACCTGAAAATAAAGTACAAGAAAGTAAAACTGAAGATGAACTATTAGCTGGTACGAGCAGAGATGCACTCTTTATAATTTACATACATCCTAAGTCAACTTTCCCGCTGAAGCCGCGGCGTGACTCGCGCTTAAAAGTCGCGATAAGACTGTGTCCTACGATCGCGGTAAAACTCGCGAAATAAGAGTCGGGATTTGGAATCACGATTTTTTCACGATCAGCATCTAACTTCGCGGTCACTCTTGGCTGGACGCTTACACTCGTGGCAAGAGCTCCGATAGTTTTTATCATACTCTTATACTAGCACCTTGACTCTTGGTCCAGTCGCTATTCTTATAGCGACTTTGGGAAAAACAGCCTTTTCGCGGCGTGAGTCTCGACGGTCGCGTAGGGACTCACGCCGTTCGCGGCGAGAATCCCAAAAATATTTTTTGTATTATCAGATATTCCCGTTTAACTTCCAGAAAAGTCGCGTTTCTTTTTGGTAACACGAAATTAAAGTTTAGGAAGCAATGAATAAAATTTCTAATGTTTCTTTCGGTTTTTTATATAAGTTCGGTTGCAAAACAAAAGCCGGTGAATGAATTTTGAAGCATGACTCATGTTACGACTTCAGGTTTATTGGCGTTTCCCGACATAATTTTGTGAGTTCAGGCGTGTCGGGATATTACGTAGTGACTCCACGCGAAACTGTAAGGCTCATCCATGATCCCGATGCAACAAAAACTCTTAGCGTGAATTATGGATAATGTTTTTAAAAAAGTTTAAAATTTATCCAAGGTCGCGCCGCGATACTGTGAGTCAACCGCGATCGTGAAGCGACTGTGTGTCTCCACCATGAGCGCGACGGAACAAGCGCGAATCCGTAGCAGTCACGGGCAAGACGACGGGATCGCGCCACGAATGAAGCGCGACAGTTGACTTGGGTTCTATGACATTTTTCTTTCTAGAATTTTCTTCTCCAACACTGGCTGTTATGCAAACAACTCCGAAAGATGAGTTTTCAACTAGCCGATTACGTACACCTTTTCTACCACCAATTCCCAAGCGATGGATTAATAATAAAAATCCACTTTACGCTTCAACAATCGATGAAACAACGACACCACCATCACGAGGAAAGGACACAAATATTTGGAAATATGAATTACCAGTAAATTCGAGTGCAGTATTTTCGTGAAGCTATGTTTCTATTATAAACTTGGTTACACACACTTATACAGTATTTCTATTTTGACATAAATATACTGTCTGCGAAAAAAGTTTCTATTTTTCCCTTAAATTTCGCTAAGAATATTGCCATGGTTTTGGCTATTGAGACACACCTAGTTATCGCCAAAAGTAATCAAGTTCTCTGTTCTCATGACGTCAAGTTTTCTTTTTCTCAACTATAAAATCATAGTTCCTTTTTCTCAGCTAATAAAATCATAGTTCCTTTCCAGTTTAACATATCTGTCATAGAAATACGTCAAATTTCTAATTACAAATAAAAATATAAATAGCAGTGAAGGGAAAAGACTTAAAAACTTTAATTATTGGTCAAGGCGAGTGAGGTGTTCTGAAAGTGTCTACATTCAAATAAGATGTATTTGAAGCAGACCTAAATCGCCTAAAAACTAAAATGTCCATTTTCGATCGTATTGAAACTGCTACATTTGGACATAAAATGTTTCCAGCATAAATGCAGAAAAACCGGATTGCGATATTCATCAATGTACATACAATCAAAAAGGGCGACTCATTTTTGCGGAATTTTGTCTAATTCATAAGAGCTTTCAAAATATATATTCAGAGTTCTCCGGACCTAAGCCGTTACTGAGATATCCGTGTTTTGCAAAAAAAACAACAGTCTTGCTTAAGTAAACTAGATAAAGGAAGCATATTCAGAGCCTGTAGACCATTCCACCATTAATTAGGGAGAAATTCCTGTGACAACGTCGCAATTCTAGTTAGAAAAGCAATTAAAAGAATCTTGTAATGTGATATTTCCTAATTCATACAGACCAGAAGCTCTGAAATTAGATCGCTGACGAGCGTATCGATAAATGGCAAAGTCCAAAAAATGTGTGTCAGATGGGATTAAATAATATTGTGAAATGTAATCAAAGTTAGTCTAAAAATAAAGTCAAAAATGACTATTTAATACTCATAATGGACAATTAAAAATAATTAGAGGATAGTCATATTTATGATCAGTCTGGTTCATCCGAGTCAATAATTCATCTCAATATGACAGCAGTGAGTGGATGTTGTAACCGAAGGAAAAATGAAGCAGAAAAATTATAGTTGGTCATATATACCCCTGGAAAAAATAAGTTTTCCTCGGTATTTTGAGGATATTGTTACCAAAAGAACGTATTTTTTTAAAATAACGACATATTCTGAAAGCCCGTGAAATTTTACATCATCCTGTATATTTTTATTTTTGTTTGAATCGCTGTGTAAAAAAATTATTCCAATAAAGTGAACACACCCTCAGTACCTCATTTCCACACACTTAATACAATCATTGTTATCTTGTATAGTTTTTCAAGATTTTGTCAGTATTACAAATAGGTTTTGAAAAAAGTAATCACATATTCTGATAGAGCTTGAAATTTTCTATCACCCTATATATTTATATATTGTCTTGTATTTACTTGCTGGGAAAAAATTTGAATACAGTAAAGGAAACCTACCTTGACAAGTACAAAAATGCACTACTTTTTAGGACTTTTCAAATTATTATTGCTATGGAAATAAATGTTTACAAAAGTAAATATAGACTCTGATAGCCCGTGAAATTCTCTATCATTCTATGTATTTATGTCTTGCCCCGCATTTATCTGCCAAAGAATAATTCGAATATTATTTAGGCACTCTAGTTTACAAACCTAAATAACCAGACTTTTTACCATCTCTTTGGTTTTTATTTCAGATTTATTATCACTGTAGAAATAACTTTTTGCACACGCAGTTGTATGTTCTGATAGCGCTTGAAATTCTCTATTATCCTGAACTTTTGAACTTAAAACGAAAGAGATAGTAAAAAAGTGCAGTTTGTTAGAGTTTTTCAAGGAGAGTGCCTAAATAATATTGGAATTGTTCTTTGACAAATAAGTGCAAAACGAAACACAAATACATAGAATGATAGAGAATTTCACGGACTGTCAAAATACACAACTACTTTTGTAAAAGAGTGTTCTTATAGTTATAATAATTTGAAAAAAATACTGAAGAAGTAGCGAAAAATATGCACTTTTTTTGTACTTGTCAAGGTAGGTTTCCTTTACTGTATTCAAATTTTTTCCCAGCAAGTAAATACAAGACAATATATAAATATATAGGGTGATAGAAAATTTCAAGCTCTATCAGAATATGTGATTACTTTTTTCAAAACCTATTTGTAATACTGACAAAATCTTGAAAAACTATACAAGATAACAATGATTGTATTAAGTGTGTGGAAATGAGGTACTGAGGGTGTGTTCACTTTATTGGAATAATTTTTTTACACAGCGATTCAAACAAAAATAAAAATATACAGGATGATGTAAAATTTCACGGGCTTTCAGAATATGTCGTTATTTTAAAAAAATACGTTCTTTTGGTAACAATATCCTCAAAATACCGAGGAAAACTTATTTTTTCCAGGGGTATATATGCCTAACATCTGATTAAAAAAGCTTTTGAGATCTTATGTCTAAATTGCTTTTGCTGTAAAACAAAAATTTCAATAGTAAATTTATATCAAAAATGTGTAACTGTATGTTATAAATAAATTCCTCTATGGGAAAAGAACCAAACACAAATGTTACTTCTATAATACGAATCTCGACAAGCGAACCTTGTCTTTCTCATTGTTTATCTTGTACTATGAAATCAGGAAATCGAAGAATTCTAGAAAAAAACGTTCTTCAAAATGCCTAAAAGAAAACGCGTGTTTCATTCAACAGTAAACATAATTTTGAATTAAAGTTAACCACTTAGAGACTAAGATCTTCCAGGTTTTATTACACGTTTGGATCTGAACCTGGACCTGTCAGATCATAAGTTCAGGATTAGATTTACTATTTCTGGCTAATGTCAAGAGCTGTCGAAATGTATAATCATATAGTTCTCCGACTGGAAGCCGTCACTGAGTTATCAATATTTTTCAAGAAACTGTTTGCCATGGCAATGTCTCAGCCTTAGGAATTTGTTGAGAGCTTCACCATACTCATTCAGGGAGTGAGAATAGATATACGATAAAGTTTAATCGATAGGTCAATCTTCAACTTAGAAACAATTTTCAGTCGATTTTTCGGACTAATATGTTCCGAAGGTAAAGGTAAAATTGTCTTTTAATTATATTCTCAAAGCTCTGTCTGAAGCACTAGATAATCATATGTTTAATTTAACATGAAACGTTTATTTACTTGAGAATGGAAACGTTTCACAACTCTTTTTGATCTATTTATCGGTTGCTTCCACTTTTTTCAATGATTAAAAAGACGTTTATACACTTTTGTACCTTCCTTACGTGGGAAATTTATCATTATTGACAGATCACTGGCAACTGGAGGGGCGATAGATGTACTTAAGTCGTCCGCGAAGAGATCAGTGGAACATATTCCTACAAACCACAACGTATCGTAAGTACTGACTAAAGATTCGTTTTTAATATAGACGTTATTTCATGTCCGCTCAAGAGACATCCCTAATCTGAAAAACTTAACAATTAATCGGGTGTGCCAAACCATATCGTAAGATTTTTTGTACTCCACATAAATAGCTGAAACATAAGCGTTTGCTGCGATGTTACTTTCACCTCCCGGTAAACCGATAGAACGCGCATTTGTAGTAAACAATTTTTCCTAAATCCATATTGTACTGGAGGAACGATATAGTTTGAGTCTGCTCAAATTTTCACTCTTTTAATAATGATTTTTTCAAATAGTTTTTGATGTGTAGCTAGTAAAAATATTGGATGATTTGCTTCTGAAGAGAGTTGTAGTATATATTGAACCACGCTTCTATTGGTTCAAACATTTTTTAATTCGTAGATGGGAAACAATCGTTTCATGTTAAATGAAACATATAAATATCGATTGCTTCAGGTAGAGCTTTGAGAATATAAATAAAAGACAATTTTACCTTTACTTTCCGAATATATTAGTCGGTGTCAAGAAATTCCTAAGGCTGAGACTTTTGCATACTGTAGAATGTGAGTTTAATGAGTTGACTCAAATGATTTTCTCCTGTACCGATTGATTTTTCACGTTCTAAGAAGTTTTTAATTTTTTTTTCATATAAATGCCAACAATCATCCTGATGAAGTAAAATTAAGAATTAGCTATTTAAGGGAGAAGGGGTCCCCTCCCCCTATATGTGTCCTCGAACTATGTCAGTTTAAAGAGGACACCTGACTACATATATTCTTAAGTTCTTTCGATGAACTGATAAGTATTTCCAGAGTTATTAATTAATTAAATTTAAATTTTAATCATAATTTGGGTAGCTAGTTCGCATTTTGCAAAGTTTGTAGCTCGTTTAAAAATAATCGTAGAAATGTCGTTCTTGCATGGTTTGATAGCCAATGGTCTGTTCTTATGGTCTGCTGAAAAAAGTTTTCTTAAGACAAATTAATCATGCTAATAAATACTAATTAATATCACTCTGGTGGATTACACTTTTATTTGCAAATTAACAGTTTATAGGAAACGGTAACGTAATACGCCATTCGATGGAAATTTCCAGACGCTACAAATCCCTGTATTTGTCTTTTCAAAATGTTATCGGTAAGCAGTTATTTGTACTCGGTTTTAGGCAGATGGGGTTTATGCTATGGATTTCTCAACAGAGCGGCTGTGAATGTTTTTTGCCAAACTCGAGAACGAGAAGGGACAGAAAGTTCGGATTTTCAATATTTTGTAGAAAAGGCTTTACTCCATCTCACATACATTTGGTACTTCAGGCGGGTTGGTTTCTCAGGCGGTGTACCTGACAGATGAAAACCGATGAGGTTGCCAGATTCTGAGTCTGCGGTGAACTTTTAATTTCAACATGGTAACTTAGATAGCTCAAAGTGTTCTCTATAATTCTGCGCAAAGCCGATTTCTCTATCTGTTGTGCTTCTTGAATGGCAGGCATTTTCGTGAGTCATCCGAAATTCGTTACCATTTGGTCAGGCAAAATGCCTCCCAGTCGAGAAGCACAACAGATAGAGAGACCAGCTTCGCGCAGAATTCTAGAGAACACTTTGGGCTATCGAGTCACCATGTTACAATCCGTTAAATTCAAACACAATCGTCCTTTTCAAACTGACATAGTTTGATAAAGTATGAGGAGCCACCTATTTACTGTAGTGTAAAACTCTTGCCAATGATCCTGCAATAACAAAGCATACTAGAGTAAAAGTCTTGCTATCAGAATTGTGTGCAATGGCCGACTGCAGGAGTAACGTGACCTGTTTTTCAGAGTTAATGGAAAAATCTTGAAAAAAATTAAATTTAAATTTTAAAAATTTAAATTTAAAACATATAGACGAAAATTTTGAAAATCAGGCAATGTTACTCCCCCAATCGCATTGCGCACATTTTTAGTTGCAAAAGTTTTTTCCACTATGCACCGTTTTTGCAGCATCCCATGGGAAAAAAATTTTGTAACTCAATTTTGGTGACTTTTTTACGTTTGTAACCCCATAAAGGGGGGTTATTCTGGTGTGGCCCATAGAACTGTACAACATTTCGAAATAAAAACGGCGGGGCGGGAGGATCCTTCCTTAAGCTGGAAATGTTATGAATGGTTATTGAAGATTTTTAAAGCTAAGAAAAAATGGATATCTAGAGTGACATTTTGACCTTGATGCATGTTTTCCTTTTTACCATATAAACCAACTTTACCAAAAAAAAGGGTAAATATTCGTTTTTATCTACTTAAAACTAGTTTCAAAAAATTACTTTTTGCTTGGGCACATAAGTCTCACAGACAGAGTCTCCGACAACTTTTCATAAGCTGAAACTTCCTAAGATGATCGATGGTGATGTCTGATGAGAAAAATAAGCTTTAGATGTATAAATTGACTTGTTTTTATCTTAAGAGAATGTTCAATAATCAAAGAAAAATATTCTGAGGATTTCATCGTCGGAGAACTAGGAATGTTTAGTTCGAGCATCTTCTACACGACAAAAGCCATGTTGATTGCAGTTGAAGATTTTTATTTATGAGAGAACCACAGGCAAAAATAACTTTGCATGCTTACAAATTTTACAAATCATTTATGAGTCAACAGACTAATGGACTGTGTGTAATTAATCGATTTAATGTCCTTTCTTTTCTTCAGTCGAAAGTGTATACCACAAACAACATGTTCTTCCGCAACCAGGATTCTAGATCCTTCATTCAATGGAGAGAATAGCAGAAAATTATGACGAATGCAGTATCTTCTATTATCCGAAATAATGGACAATTCGTTCTAGCACTTTATTTAATCCTAGTGAAAAACTGACATAGGATGTAGAGACCTGCAAAGCGGACTGGGCCATTGGAACACTTTCTCTGACTTAAGCTGATCGGAAAAAGTACCTGTTGTTTTTTATGAAAAAGATGAAAAATACGACGCACCTCTTCGCAGAAAGTAAGTTGAAGCACTTCCGCAAAAGTAGATTTTCATAATGATCTGTGAAACTACCACCTTTTTGCCATGAAGCATTTTTATGCAGTTCTCAAATTTCTTTTACAGAGAGATACGTCAACTTTTAGCTTCAAAATCACGAAAATCGCAATTTCAGCACCTCCAGTTTGAAGTGCTGATTCCAAACATGTCATTGGTTTCGTTAAAAATGCTTTCCGAGCGTAACAATTCGATTTTATGTGAAAAAATACGAGATTTTAGAAAACCCAGTGTATGATCTAGAGACATTTGAGTATCTTTGTGCTAATTTTACGGATGTAACACATGAGCAAGAACATTTGGGCAAAGTTTGAAGAAGAATGAAAGCTGGCTAAACCACTCACACTCAAATACTTAGCTTCAAAATCACGAAAATCGTATTTCTAGCAATCTTCTATTAAGTGTTATTAAAAAACAACCACAGTTATCTCATCTCTTAACAGCAGAACCCAGATAATCTCTATAAAAACCTGGTGAAAGCCTGTGCTACGAACTTATCTTTTATGAATTTTTGACGTAGATCTTATATGTGACTTAATTATACATTTATCTCAAAATCATATTTTTTCACTAATATCTATGTGTATTATTTTTGTCATCAAAATAATTATTATAGTGAAATATTCGCATTGACTAGTTGTAGTAGTACTCATTGTAGCTCAATTTCGGACACATTGCCTAGGTTTTATTTTAATACAGACCACTCTTTTCTCTACAAAACAGCATAAAATTTAGCTTGGTTAAACATCAGTGAAGCGTCCCAAATCGGTTTTAAAGAAATAAGTTAGTTTTCTTCGATTATGAATTTTATAAACTAGTATAGATGTTGGAACGATTTTTCAGAGATACGTCGGACAAAAATTCTGTATCTTGATCATTTTCGACTTCTAAGGTGTAAAAATTTAGCTTTTGAGATAATTATGAATGCCCTTTCTGATACTTATACAAAAGATGTGGGTCAAATTCTGGCTGCATAACACTCTCTCTGCGGCCTACTCGATGTTAGTGCAACCACCCTCTTAATGGATACTTAATTTTTAGCTTCTTCCTTGCCAAAGTGGTTCCGATAGAAAATTTATCAGATATAGTAGTTTTCTCGCTATATTCGAAAGATTCTTGACTGTGCTACAATTGGTAAATCATAATGGTCTTAAACAGAAGAACAAACAAAAAAAATTCTTCTTCTTCATTCTATTTTAGTCTAGTAACATCAAAAAAGAGAGAGTGAATTTACATTGTTCCATCGACCTACCGACATTTTTCGTTCGTTCTGCGTGTTAACTCGATTTGAATAGAGGCAAAATAATGTGTGCTAAGATGAGCATATATTGTTCGATACTCTGCAAAGAAATTTAGAACAATGAGATTTCTGCGTGCTTAAAAAATGAGTATCATAGATATTATTATTAATTAGTTTGAAGAAATGTTGAAAAAAAAATTGATGCTCTGTATGTCATCGTGAACTTTTCAGTGTGTAAGTCAAACAGATTTTCTTTTTTACTTCTTGACTGCATTGAAGACAGGGTAGACTCCAATTCTCAGAAAAACAGCACGAGTCTACAACAGTAATTAGAAAAGTTCGTTCTGCATAATTCTGCACCAATTCTCCTTTTACTATCAATTTGTTATAGATATGATTTGTTTCTCCTAAATACGAAATTCTTATCAACAGCTTTTTCCAGCAGAAAAAGTTGTTAAGAATTTTTCTGTTTTTCTTGCGTTTTGTGGTATGGTATACAGCAGCCAAGAATCGTGTTTGAAGCACAGAAACGACTGTTAGAAAGAGAACAGGCAACTGCGATATATTTTGCGCGTAAAGTGTGTGATTTAAAACTGACAACACACAAACGAGTCCAAAATATATATTTATTACGTCGATAGACATTATGCATTTGTTCAGGGATTTTTGTTTTTATGTCGACAGACATTATGTGTTTTTGCAGGGATTTTGTTCTTCTTTTTTTTAATTAGTTACTTTTTTTTGCAAAATGTGAGCAAGATGATCTAGAGAACTACATTCTAGTAGAAACATTCTAAAAACGGGATGACGTTCTTTGGGCACTGTATATTGACCATTGTACATTCCTTTCTTAAAAAATGGCATAGATTGAGCGCCATAATTCCAGTAAGTGGAAGAAAAATGTCTTTTAGACTTAGAAACTTTTCGTATACTTATAAGAGTTGATTGTTCGGCACCACTTTTTAATTAAAACTTGATTACTACTGTAAATCATCGAGAAGAGTAAAGTTTTTTCAACTTTTTAACGATCTCTCTGTCTCTGTTAATATGACCGATGTCTGTCGACATCGCAACCTGTGCGCAGCACAACTGCGTTCTATTTTAACTTGTTTCTCTTTGAGGCGACAATGTGTGTTCCCAGTTTTGAATCAAAATCAATTATGCCAAAAAATTAAAATCTCAGTATACCATCGGTTCTCACAATATGTATTGCGAGTGAGTAATCGCTATTTGTTTTTCAGTTAAAACATGAAATATTCTACAAGCGTCTTCTTATCAGCATGCTATTTTTACTGACACGTAATACATTTTAACAATTACTACCTTAATTTTGTAATCGCTATTTGTTGGGAGTTAATGGAATACCATTAACGCAGGGTCATGATTGAGATTAGGGATTCACTAGGCGTTCTTCGTTCCTTTACGCACTATACCGCGCTTGCGGTTTTTCGGTGGTCGTAGTTAGTTTCTATATTTCGTGTTACTAAATCATGTTATTTTACGTTTAAGTTAGTCAACATCACTTCTAATTTCTAAAAGAAACTCATCTAACTAAAATTTCGACTAGCCCTTTCCACCGTTAGTGGAGTTCACTCATTAGATTTCCTTAATGTATTCTCATCTGCGGTGTTCACTTAACCCTTTCTTGCCCTATGGCCCCTATAGGGACCATTTTATATGAATTTAGTTCACTTGAATTAGCGAATGTCTCGCAATACTAAGCGATCTTTATCTAATAGGCTACAGTCTATGCGCTCAACCTGCGCCCTACCCTACCCTGTAAAGTTTGCACCCTACCCTACCCTAATAGGACAGGATAGGGTAGGGTCATCCTGTACACCTCTATTGTCCTTCAGAACCGTCAGGTTTAACCAAAGGCAAGAAAGGATTAATTTTCTTGTTCTATGACGAGTATGATGAGTAAACCGGGGGGAACCGAAGGCTCCAGATGAGTACTAAAGTTCTTCATCTCGATTAGTTCAACTACCAATCAATCCAACTTCTGGTATTGATACAATCTAAATGACTACCAAACGACTAGCATCGTACTACACTAACAACATTCTGATATATAAGGAACTATACACTGCATCTATTATAACTGCAGTTGACGACCTTAGTCTCAGCGCAGTCTATCATAGACTGCGCTGAGACTAACAACAAAGAACAAATCTCAGATCAGAACAAATCTAGTAGCGCTTCATAGAGTCTATGAAGCGCTACTAGATTTGTTCTGCGCGACATAGGTCAACCAACCATCGGAGTGCTTCGCTCCTACCACAGTTGCTCTGTCGATCTTAGTCACAAGTAGCTGACGACGAACGATCTCAGACTCCTTTGCCAGTTGTTCGTCTAGCTTTTACTACGGGTATTCTTCTATGTGCCTGTTTAGTGTATGTATGTAAGAGCATTTTCTTTAATAAATGCCCACAATGTCAATCTTAGTCTCACACAACAGGAAGCGATAAGCATGAATTTTCAGTTAAAACATGGAATATTCTACAAGCGCCTTCTTATTAGCGTGCTATTTTTACTGACACGTAATACATCTTAACAATTACTACCTTGATTTTGAATCAATATAATGTTTTTTATTTTTATCAATTTTAAGGTGATCAATCAAGCCGACATGACTAATGAGATCAGATCACCATCAACCAACAACATTCATAGTGGTATCATTCGGATTGAAGAGGAGGAAGATGGCGAAACTATGCATGAAAAGAAACAATTTCATCAATCGCAAGCGCATCCTTATAACCAACGATTATTATTGAAAATTATTAAAGTGTTTTTCTATCTCTTTTCTGACTGTTTATTTTCACGATTACTCTCATTTATATTTATAAATCAAGCTGCCGTCATGTGGTTAGGCTCATCTGTGAACTTTATTCTACAATTACTCTTTGTACCATTTTCATGGAGTAGCCAACCACGATCATCAAATATTATGGCTTTCCTGGGCTCATATTCTATGATTCCCAGCATTGTGGCATTCTCAGCACATTATTTTTGGTTTCTTGTACAAATTGGATGCCACTGTTTTACGAAAACCTTACGTAAGATATTAATTGGTATTGTCACACTCAAAATGAACACGCATAATCCTTAACTGACTTTTATAACAAGTTTTGAAAGAGAGAATAACATCGACTCGTTAAGTGCAAGAAAATCTAAGATGTACACTCGTAAAACGATTATAGGCAAAACAAAAGTCATTTGTGTGATTAGAGCGAAAAAGTTATGTATATTCATGTGATACTACCATTCACTTCCATTTCAAAATAAGAATGAATTCTCAATCATGATAGATAAAGAGTTCGAACAGCGCCTATTTTGGATTATCAACTGATGTAAGAAAAGGCCATCATCATCTATCTATAAAGAGTTATTCAGAGTACCGTAGAGTTCGTTCAATTTAGAAATGTATAGTAAATAAAAATTATTTCTACCATACTTTAGAATTTAGAGATAGTTGAATATTCTAATCGTGAATCTTTTAGAAAATGATTATGGATTGACATTTCATTTGTGTTTTTAGGCAATAAGAACAGTACATTTCGTAATAATGCTCTATTATTTTTTATTGATAATGAAATTGAATTTATTCATTTAAATGTAAAACAGATTTATCGTCTCTTCATTACACTTTCATCTGTTGCTTACATTATTTATTACATGAATAAAGATTTATTAAATTGTTTTATTGTACCAAGTGGACAAGTTCCATTGGCACTTATGTGGGGTTTACATTTATTACATCTACTTGGATTAAATATTTTTGTCGTTCTGACGGTCAAACAAAATTGGAATAAAGTTGATGAAGAAAAAGATGGCGAACATATTGATCATCAATCCCCGTATTTCTCTTATATTTACATTGTCACTGTTTTAATTTTATTTCCTATTATATTTCTACTTCTTTGTATATTTATACATGTCGGATTTCTACTGTTTTATGTGGTATGGATATTTATGTTTCATCAAACATGGCAACCACCTCCATCTCAGAATGTGAGTTTTTTTTGATATTTTTATCATTTTTGAACATTATCATTTTTGCTTTAGTTATTAAATGAAAATCGAAAAAATGTACGAAATATTCGTTTAAATGATTTAAATCATATTTATTGTTCAAATATTTGTAGTATTTTTTTTAATGGTCCATTAGATCGTTATTATTCTCGTACGATTGTGACGCGTTCCACCCGAGTATTCACCTATAAAGTATTTATTCTGTTTCTTCAATCAATTATATTGACATCTCTCACATTTATTCTTAAAAAATCAACAGTTAAAATCACTTCAATAGAAAGAACACTTGAAATATGTATTATGTTAATATTAAGTTTAATTATATTAATACTATTATTACCACCGTTTATACACAAATTAAACATTCTAAGAATACAAATAAATTTAATACAATGTCTACTCATTGGAGTTTTTAGCATGTTGATTATTGGTAGGATGTCATATCTTCTTCGTTTTATCTTATATCATCATCTTTATTTATTGTTTTAGGTTTCGTTATTTTAATCAAAAGTCATTCTTCTAATAAATTTATGTTGGCTATATGTATCTCACCTCCACTTTTTTACTCTATTTTAACTCTTATTTTTTATACATATCATATTATCCGTGATTGTTATCATTTCATCTTCAATAATTTTACGTTTCCATGCCGTTCTGGTCTCATGGAGTGGTTAGAATGTCATCATAGTATTTCGATTTATATTAATGCTTATTATGCTATGTTCATTATTCTATCTCTACTCGGCTTTGCTGGTCTTACATTGGCCACATCGATGTATTATTTCAATAATCAACGAGTTAATGAAGATTCGACAAAAAAAATTGATTTATTTGGAAATTATTTATTACCTGATATGAGTAATCAATCATCTGTCGAAAGAATGGAAGCTTGCAATTGGCAATTTACAGGATTAAATATTCAGGATATTGTACTGTTAGCGGCTCTAGCTTATCAACCTACTCAACAATTGGAAAAAGAAATTAAACATTTTTATCCGTCTCAGTTTCAATTTGAATTAGATTTAGAACATAGTCATTATCAAGCGTATGGTTATGGAAATATTACCTATTTTACGTTGATATCAAGATCACATGATATTCTTATTGTATCAATAAGAGGTAAAGTTTAAAATTAAAAATGATTTAGATGAAATATGTTTTATTCTTCTTGTAGGTACAAAACTATTGTATGAATGGCTGATTGATTTCGATATGTGGAATGAGTCATTTATTTATCAAATTTTATCCATTTTATTTCCTTGGTCAAAATTATTTCCTGAATATTTAAATTCTCGTATTATTAAACATTTATCCATTCTTGAAAGATTAGTAAATCAAAATTTAAAACAATCAAAACGTTTTTATGTTCAACAACTGGTACCAAAATTAAAAGTTATTCGACAAAAGTATCCGAAAATACGATCGTTTATCATATTAGGACATAGTCTCGGTGGAGGATTAGCTAAATTAGCCGGAATAGCGTTGAATGATACAAATGTATTGATTTCGATATCAGGACCAGGTATTACCTATTCACATGCTAAAATGGATGAAACAAAACATGTTTCAATGGATACAATAAACAAACGAATATTTAATTTATATAACGATAGGTAAGAGGGTAAATGTTCATTCTATAATTTGTCTTTGAAATTATCTTAAATCAATGAATAAAAATAAGGAGACTTTAGAAACTATAAATAATTACGGTTAGATCAGAATAAATCAGTCAGTATTTTGCTCATATCTAAGTTGGATTTTACCTCCTGAACTTTATTCATGACCATCCGTCATTTCTACGATACATCGTACTAGACTTATGACAGTTCACGGTTTCCGTTTCTACACCAGAAATGATCCAGTAGCTCATATTCATAGAAACGAGTGATGGATGACTCATCAGATCTAGCTCGTGTTCGAACGAGAACTATAGTTGCTTCTGAACGAGGAACTGTTGATGTTCTGGTTGTTTGTGCTCTCTTAATTTATTATACAGTGAATCTTTTGGAAAAGCAAGCAAACTAATATAGAGCACAAACAAGTAGAGCATCAACAATTCCTTGTTCAGAAACAGCTATAATTCCCGTTCGAACGCAAACTAGAACTGGTGAGTCATCCATTACTCGTTCCTAGGAAGGTGAACTGACGGCTCGTCTTTAGTTCGGGAAAAAAAACTAAAAAACAGCTTCTGTTCAATAAACGAGAGCGGAGGAATAGTTTCCGTCATCGAGGAACTGCAGCTTAATGAATATTGAACTGTCATAAATCTACCTCGTACATGTGCATCAAGAATCGGGAATCTGGCTCGAATGATCACGTCTATACGTATAAATAAATTTATTTAACTCAATTATGTCAGAAAAAATCATGCCATCATACTTTTGATAGCCTTTTGCACACTAAGCGATTTGAGATTCTCTAAACAAATGTATTATTACACTATAAACTAGGATTGTCAATAACTAAATAATATATTTTTTATAGGGATATTGTGTCATGGGCGGATAAACAAGAAGGATTAACTCAACAAATGATGTGCCCAAAACATTTTAATTTCTTTCAATGCCATTACATAAATCCATTTTTATGCCATGTAGTTAAAGAATGTGGAAATACTAGATTATTTCATGTTAACCAAAAAATATGTGATCTGTAATATTGATTTCTATCCACTATTTTCGATAGTCTTTCAAAACCATTTAGATCTAATCTAAACTAGAGAGATAACTGCCTTTGTTGTATTTATAGATATTATAAATGTGTAATATTATTTTCTTGACTTCAATAAATAAACATTGTAAGAAAAATACACATTCCTCAACTCGGACTTGAACCTGATTATCAATACATATTAAAATTCCAGTTGTTTTTTACTCGTCTTATTTTATGTTTAACAAGATCAATTTTAGAAGCTGAAATAATGGATCACCAGACACTAGAACGCGATGACACTAGAATATAAGTCTATTTTTTGATCATCTGGCTGACTATGTAAAAACTTGACTAGCATTATAGAAGATAATTTTCTCAGTTTATCCAAGCAAAAGTTGCGTCGTGGAAAAATCTAGATGATCGCTTTTTCTTCATTTTGTTGTGTCGATATATACCAAACCAAGCCATATAGAGAGTCGCGAGACGTCTTTAATTGAAGAGAAAGGTCTTATGAACATTTTAAGACGTATCTGTACTCTAGAAAATGTCTTTTCTGTAGATCTTAATAAAGTATTGAGTACTATTTTTTGATTCTGAAGAATTTGAATCTTTGAAAAGTTGTACTCAATAATTTATTAAGATCTACAGAAAGAGACATTTTCTAGAGCCCATATGCAACAGTGATTTGTTGGAAGAACACAGAATTTTTTTCTTATTCTACGATCATATAAGTTATGGACACATCTGTCGATGAACTACTCATAGTGGTTCTGTGTTAGTGATAGCATCTTGTACATAATTAACCAAAAATATCGGAAATAATTGGACAGAACTGTGTATTTACCGTTATTTAAACGTGTTATAAGCATCTGAGTTAGAGTGAAATATCACTTGTTTTTATCTAATTTTTCTATACAAATATCTGGTTAAAATAGTCAAAAACTTTAGATAAAATTCGACATTAGAAGAACATAAAACTACATTTATCGACAAATTCAAAAATAAAATACAGAGAAAATACATTTTTTTTTCTCTTTTTTTTATCACTGTTTGAGTGCATACTAATATTGTATAATAGAGAAAAAAAAAATAATAAGATTCTTTAACAAGAAATAAAACCGGTATAACAAAAATCATCACAAAATAGCAATATGTTAATAGACGTAAATTTTGGAATTTATCTCGTTTTAGTCATGTGTGTTCGATCGTATAAACCAGTGTAGAACAGAGTACAATAATTAGTCAGTTGATTGGCACAAGAATACTTCCAATGGATTTTTCATACAGCTGATTTAAAGGATTCAATAAGTCCAGTACCTACAAGATGTGAAAATAATTTTTGTACCCTAATTTATACGTTCCTACAAGAATAGATCCTTAAAAAAGATTCTAGATGAGACTAATTGATATTACTGTTCACGATGGGATCTGTTTGTTTTTTCCACAGTATATATAATTGAATAGTGTGTTTTTCATTATTCAATAGTAATAAATAAATGACAAAAGAAAAAATATTTTTGTTCGAAAATTGCTAACTTACATCGAATAATTGATCGAATAATCTTCTAGCATCATGCTCTTTTCTATTTGAACACATTTGAGAATAGAGTACATATGAGTAACATGTTTGAATTGAACTAATAGTCTCTTTATCATTAAGAGTTTCATCTAAACTTAATGCAGAATGCTAAATAAAACATTAAAAATATTATTCAATATGTCAGTTTTACTTACCTTCTTTGCATAAAACTATCGGAAATATCAAGGCATGTTCTTCAGGAAATAACTTGAGCTCATTGAATTTATTCGCAAATTCAAATATTTTATTTGTTATTTCTTCACCGTGCATCACCAGCATCCAATGACGAGTGCACTGAAGATCATTGGGATACATGTTAAAACATTCACCATTTACAAAAGTACACGAATATTTAATCTAATAAAAGAACATAAAGATAACGAATTAGCTAAGCTTACCTCAATCGGAATCTTAGACATTTCTTAAAGATACCTTAAGTGAGCTGTAGATGGTGTACACCATCAATCTTTTTTTAAGTTCCAGTCGGTGAAAACATTTTCATTAGCGATTTTATTGTTTTTCCATTGATATATAGTTTGAAGTGTCCTCTATCAATCTACCTAAGTCCGAGTTTTCTAGAAGCCTAGAGAAATCGGGTCTTCAAATATAGATTTTCCTGGATACTTATGCAATTAAAATTTTTCTGAACACACAGATTTGTAGAGCAAACGTTTCTGCTCAAAATAAGACCTAGCACAACTCTGTATGACCTTGTATCAAAAAGTTACAGATATTTTCCTAGAAGTCCTAAAACTGAGCATTTTATACAACGTTTAATACAGCGTTTTCTCTACATGGAAGTTATATACCTGAAGTGTGTCCCACGATTTTTAATAGCGGTTTGTCGTAGAGAGTTCATTCTTTTTTTGTTTAAAAGAGGAAAAGAAGCTACATGGAGTGACAACCGCCGATTTTTGAATTAGGTCCTAGTTTTTTGTCAAATCCGGGATTTTTAGAAAATCCGGCAGCTTTTTTGGGGTTTGGAGGTTGTTGGTTACCTGGAAAACTAATAAAGGCTTAATTAAAAAATCGACGCCTGTCAGTCCATGTAGTTAGGTGTCTAGTTTAAAATAAAACCAACCCGAACTCTCCAGCTTGAAGTATATTAAAAAATCTTGGGACACACTTCAAGGTCCTTTTTGAACCTTGTACCCTTCTCTGAAAAACTCCTGAACCGTAAGACTTGGAGACAAAAAAATTTTTTCATTCCCGTAACTCATTGTGCCTAACATTTATGGAAAGTTTCGTCAAGATCGGATGTACGGTGTCGGAGATAATTTCTAAGGAGGGGCGTTAAGGAGATATTGCGAAAANCCCCCCCGCCCCCCCCCCCCCCCCCCCCGCGCGCCCACCCCCCCCCCCGGGGGGCGCGCCGCCCTTAAGTTGATGACCTCTAGACAGTCTATCGCGCTGAACGACCATATAATAATAAAAACACGGGTAATAGTAAAACATGAAGACACCCACAGACAGCACACAGACAGCCACAGACAGCTACACAGACATCCATGGATGTCTGTGTTTGGATGTCTGTGTAGCTGTCTGCGGCTGTCTGTGGGTGTCTTCATGTTTTACTATTATCCTAAAAACACTATAAATATCAAAGCATGTTCAAACCAGTTCAAAATTTCAGAATATACTCGAAATGGCTTGGCATTCATTAAAAGTCAAAAAGATTTCTGGATAATCAGTATATTCAGCATATTTTCCTAATCAGTAACGCCAAATTTTTTTGGATAAACAGTAAAGGGTTTTCTAACAGTTTTTAGACCACAATAAATATTTTTCTAAAAGTAACATGATTTTTGACTCCAGACGAGATATGTTGAGATACAAAGACATGTCAAAATTCGACCATCAATGTCTATAAGAGGCAGTTTTCGGAACTTAAGTTTTACGCCAAAGACGTATTTAGTTTATCTGACAGATTTAAATGAAATTTTTATATCAGGTGTATGTCTATATGTTACTAGTTTACAATAAAACGTCCCTATTTTGCATTAGTTATAGAGAGTGGTAAAGGAATTTCTCGATCCTGTAAACAATTTTCTTTTACTTAACTAATCGACTAAAAAACGATCTTTTAAAATGGCTTTATACTTTAGACTATAGCCTATTTTTTCCTTTATTTCGACATTTCAGATACACCTACCTCTACTTTCACAGTCTGATTTGTCGATCCGGTGAAGCTTTTACTTTCGAGCTTCATTTCAAAATACAGCTTATATCTGAGACTATACAGGCTCCACGCATTCTTTTTTTACTCAAGTTATTAATTTTATAAAAACAGACTAAAACTATACCAGATTCTTTCATTTATGTTATGCAAAATCGAACGTGGAAAAATGCGCAAAATTTTATATATTCGAGTGCTATAAAATGTTGATCTTTTTCCCTAAAGTAATCACGTACAGACCTACACTTGGTATAAATTTTAGTCGAATTTGTAACATTAACTAAATATAACTATCTGCTTCTATTAGAAAAAACTCTTAAATAATACCCTCTAATTTCAATTTGGCACTATTTAAATAGTGGCTAGAAAATGAACGGGTAAAATGTTAAACTCATACCAGTTTTTAGAGAAATGTTTAGCCTCCAGCAAAGGATATTTTTTCAAGTTTATTACTACACCGATTGTTTAAGTTTTCGTAACTTAACACATCGTCTGAAGTTCGAGAAGCATCTTATTTATTAGACAGACTTTAGTTTGCACTCATGATGCAATGTTTTTGTGAAAAAGAGAAAAAGACGAGGAAAGTTCACTGTCCAAGGCGACAGATAGTATCCAACCCATTATATTGTCAAAAAAAAAGAGACTTTATAGTGCATAGCGTACCAGATAATAATCGAAGAACCGATGTACCATCATTTTATAAAAGTCACCAGAATTTATGTCACTAACACCATGAATCTAAAAATAGTTAACTCAATTAATGAAAATAAAGTATCAATAATTTTATCCAATAATAGTGTTTACTCCGAAGCTTCTCAAGAGAGATGCAAATTCATTTTAATTGACTTTGTAAGGTCAAACAAACATCAGAAAGGACATAAAAAACTGAGTGTGAGTTTGCAAAAAACGTATCACTTTTAAGACATAACCATTTACCCTTTTAAAATTGGTAATCATATTTTTTACATGAACAGGAATAGAAGCTAAAACAACAAAAAAAGATAAATTTATACTTTATGTAGAATAGAAAATAGGAAAGTATACCTTTTATACCAGCGTAAATATCTTCTATAGATGCATTATTTCCAGGATAGTCAGTGATCTACAATATATTATTCGTTAATATCAATACAACAGACATAATGCTTTCGGCTGCCTTTACCCCTAGATCAATTAGTGTATACATTCGTTCTTTCAATTCGTTGACATGTTTTGAAAATCTTATGAATATACTATACAGCGACCATCTCAAATATCTGAGAGAAGAACAAATTATAATCTATTTGTAATAGTTTAGATGCAACTCCTCTTACCTAATGAACGCTAATTCTTCATAGTTTAACTCTTGAATTACATTTCCATTTGATAATTTCAATGAGATATTTTTCATTCGTTTCAATGCATTCGCTGAAAATTGTTGAACAACAACTTGATCGGCTTCATTCATCTGAATTTGATCGTCTTCTGGACGTGGTAGTGTTTCATCGTAAGTAAAATCTTCAGGTAAGAACATCGGACTCTCATATCTGAATATGTTTGATTTTGACCGAAGAATTTGTTTTGGTAAATTTTGATTTTGATCAGGAATACACTGTTGATACGAATGTGTTTCGACAAACTGATTTAGAGATAGATACGGTACTTGAGGTGCTAAAGGCACTTCGGGTGATGAAGGTATTTGTGTTCGTGAAGGTACTTGAGATGGTAGAGGTAACTGACATAACAAGGGTTTACTGGTGCCCGTATAAAAAAATGATGGTAAATTTGACAACGATAAAGTGGACTGCCAGTTTTCATTTGAATAAATTTGTCGACATGATTGAGCAACCGTATTCGATGGCACTTGTGTAATCTCTTCAGATGGAAAATATCAACATGACAGTTTTCCCAGGATGAAAAGAATAATATTTATTTAACTACCTTGATCCATCTCTGGTTGTTCGAGATAATAATTATCCAAATTTTTCTCATCGCCTAAGCGGAACAAATTTTCATGCAATTCTTCTTCTCCAAAAGTTTGTTCTCTTAAATCTTGTAAAGCTTTTTCTTTAACCAGTTTTGGTATTCGACCCATTCGAACTCCTAAACATTAAAGCAAGGTTTTCATCATCTCATAGATAAATCAAATAGATGGTGTCATACCGTTGACAGACATTCCTTCGTTCATACATTTTCGAAAACGACATGATTTACACCTGTTTCGATTGTCAAGGTTAATAATACATGAATCTCCAAAATAACATCGATACTTTTCTTTACGTAGTATACTTCTTTTGAAAAACCCCTTTAATAAGAAACAAGGTATTAGACCTGTAGAAATCTCTTGAAGGAATAAAAGTGAGGGTATACTTTGCATCCTTCACACGTTGGAACGCCATAATGTGCTCCGGTTGCTTTATCCAAACATACACGACTAGAAGAAAGAATAAGTAAGAAATGTTTGATAAAAATGTGCATAAAATCTCACCATCTTCCAAAGGGAAACGCGATTTTTGGTTTTTTTGTTCTAATTTCAGTAATATCATCGTCATTAGTGTCTGTATTATCAAGACTCTTACATAGTTGTGAACATTCATTCGGAGAGGTGGGTGGGTGTTCATAAGTGATGGAAGAATGTTTCATACTAGAAGTCATACTTCGACTATACACTAGCTGACGGAACTTTGGCTATTTTCACAAATCTAAAATACATCAAAACATATTTAGTTGAATGAGAAAATGATCGAAGTAGCTGAAAACCGGTTTACCTTACACATTCTTCCTCACACTCATAAAACTTTTAGGTCTATTCTGTGGTAGTTCAAACTGTTCATACAACTTCTACTTCAAGTATCTTAGAAGGTAAGGATATCTCATCAGTGGAATAGTACAAGAAATTTCAAAACATGCAACAAAAAGAACGCAAAAAAAAGCTAAAAAGCTAAATAAACGCAGTTTGTACGTGAAACTGCGAAATAAACAAACATGTTTTTGAGAAAGTCAACAATGTGACGAAATTTTGACAATATGTTTTTTTAGCACGAATTTCAATGAATATTAGGACAGAATGTCTCTCTTATATAAGTACCATGCATGGGTAATGTTTAGTACCTTAAGAAAGTGCAAGAAAATCGACTAATCGATACGTTTGTATTTTTTTTGCTTCTTAATATTACTGAGTAAAATTATCAACAAGGCAATACAGTACTTTGTATGACTCACTCATACGAGACAGCTGCATTACCTTGATTTAAATAGGACGAAAAAAAAACAGGTCTCAATGCCCTAAAGAAGTACTCGACTTAAACGAAGAATAGCTCAGTTCATCGCGGACGATAGCATAAGCTTTTTCATCAACGTCGAATTCAATTAGCACGACATTTTACTTTCGTGTTTAATTTAATATAAATGCGCGTTCTATTTATGTCAAGAGAATGAATACTATTCAGAATATCAAATATATTAGCATGAAAAAGAAGAGATCCAACTCAAAATCTGGAAACACTAAACTAAAAAGTATTAATCAACTCTAGTTTACTTTGTAATCACAGAAATATGTAGATATGCGCATTAAAGCCGGTTCTTTTGTACGAAATCAGATGAAAACGGTTGTGCTAATCAAAAATATGTTCGACTGATGAATTTGTCTGCAACGACGCCCATCAAACATGAATCACCTTGAATATTCATCTGGGCGCTACCATAGCATAAATTATTTAAGATGCTAATTATGTTTTTTGATCACCAAATAATTTTATCAACACAAATCAGATTAGAACAAAATTACACTACATAAGAAATTGCATGCCCATAAATAGCTATTCCATATAAATTATCTTGATAATTTATTTATATTGTTCTCTCATCAACTGCAACAATAATACTATCACTGTGATGGATATGTATCGATCTGATCAATAGAATTTCTTCAGTTATTTCGTTGCATGGCAAACACTATGTTAGTTACATCGTATACATGTTCAGTTGATCTTAAACAATATACATATGAATATTCTACTGGATTTACTATGTTATTCAAGATATATTAAGTTAGTGAATCGGTTGCAGACTACATTGTATATGTCAAGGTAAAGGTCATGCAATAAAGGTACTTCTTCAACATTACTCCAATAGCCATATTTGTTTACATTTTGCTTGCATTCTTTTACTTTGCTTGCATTCTTTTACTTTTCTTGCATCCTTTTACTTTTCTTGCACTTTCATTGTTTGTTTTTTATATAATTTTGTATGTGTATATAAACATATAGGACAATAATATGTTATGTTGGTTAAACTAAATTATTTGCTGATCATTTTTTTATTCGTAACTTTGATAATAAAAATAATATATAGTCCGATTATAGATGAATATTCACAATTAAAAAAATTTGTCAAAAAAATTGATGTACAGTAAATAATGGGAGTGGCCATAGTTCTCTATTAATTTTGTTTTTTATATAGCGTTGCGATAGAATATCGTAGAGACTTTATCCTTTTTTTGTTAGAAAGAACAAAGTGTCTAGTACAAAAATATATAAAAATATTTGATCCGAAATGTTTCGCGAATGTCACAAAAATCTTAGAACAAAAGTCATCGGAAAACTGTTCGCATAGTTCGATCACAATTTTTAATCCAAATATATTTGTTTGACCTTTTTCATTATCCATTATCGATTGTACATAGGATGTACGATATTATTGTGTCCTCTACCAACGATATTATTTGGAATAGAACATAGCTTCTCAGTAAGATATTCGGACAAAAATTTGTTTTTTCGCTATAAACGCCAAACTGTCTCCGCTTCAGTCTCTTGTACGCCAGACTAACTTTTTTAATATCATACGAAAGACTTCATTGTAATGAACAACTTTACATATATGGTGCTCCAAAACATCGAAAATGGATAATGAAAAAGGTCAAACAAATA